GGACTGCGAGAAAGGCTTTGTTGGATGCAGCAGGAAAGCACAGCCGCTGGTGGATGCCAGTGTCCGCTCCTGAGGCTCTGCGCCAAGGTACGTGGATCCCTGCCGTCTCCTGTTTCACACGCTCGCTCAGGTCCTTTGGGGCTTGGTGTCGCTTGTCCCTCGTGCTCCCGTTGCTGTCACCGCGTGTTGTTCCTTTCCCCATGCTCAGCTCTGCCCAGTGCTGATGGGATGCCAGTGCCACCTGCTGCTCTTAAGAAAAGGTAGGTTTGATTTCTTTTGGTTTCCATAGCATTTGCTACACTTTCATTCTGTCTCTCTTCTTTTTTTTTTTTTTTTTTTTCTTTTTGCTCTCAATAAATGGCAGGTTCAATTCCTTTTGGCTCCTGTAGTGTTTGCTACACGTGTGTTCTGTTTCTCTTCTCTTTTTTCCATGTTGCCTGGCGGTGCCTGGCTGGAGTTCCCATGAGCCCCGGGCCCACTTGTGACCAAGTGAGGTGCCAAAAACAGAGGTATCTCCTAAACAGGCTTGTGCTGAGTGCTGTCCTCGTCTTGGGCTTTGTCCAATGCCCACCTTTCTTTTCTAGCCCACTTTGTTGAGGATGGCGTGTGAGGCTTTCTTCTTTCTTTGTAGGATTGGCGACTCCAGCCCCAGAAGTAGCAGGCATTTGGGGATGTCCAAGGTTCCGCAGTGAACGTGTCCTGTTCCTGGTAAAGGTGTGGGCGTTCCTGGACACGAAGGTATCTATCTTCATGCCTTGCCCATGTGCCCAGTCCCCCACCAGATGCTGTTTGCCTTTTGGCCCCCCTGATTTGCTGTACTGCTGCGCCCTGATCCTTGCAGAGGGGTAAGTGACACCTTTGTCCCTTCCGGAAAGCGCTCTCCACTTTCCTCTCGTTGGTCACCGGCAGCGCCGTCCTTCTCTCGCCAGGCTCTCATTGGTCAGCGGCAGCGCCGTCCCGCCCTCGCCAGCCTGTGATTGGTCAGCGGCAGTGCCGTCCCGCCCTCATGTGTCTCTCATTGGTGATCGACAGCACCGTCCCGCCCTATCAGCGTCTCATTGGTCATCGACAGCTCCATCCCGCCTCCGCCAGCATCTCATTGGACAGCAGCAGACTTTTGCCCGCCTTTTGCCCGCCTTTTGCCCGCCTTTTGCCCGCCTTTTGCCCGCCTTTTGCCCGCCTTTTGCCCGCCTTTTGCCCGCCTTTTGCCCGCCTTTTGCCCGCCTTTTGCCCGCCTTTTGCCCGCCTTTTGCCCGCCTTTTGCCCGCATTTCTCTTCACTTTCCCCCGGCCCCTTTTCCCCTTTCCTCTTCTTTCTTCTCATGTCCTGTTTTTTTCTTCCAGGTCTGCTTTTTACTCTCCCTTCCCCCTTTTATCTCCCTGTTTTTTGCCCATTTGTCCCCCTCTTCTTCTCTCTCCTTTTCTCCTCCTCATCTCCTTTTCTTTTTCCTCCCTTTCTCATTCTTCTTTTCCCCTTTCCCCTCTTGTCTTCCTTTCCCTTTGGCCCCCTTTACTCTCCTCTTCTTCGCCCCCTTCTTCTTCTTTTTGCCCCCATCCCCACTTCCCCTTTCACCCCCTTTACCCCTTTTCCTCCCCATCTCCCTTTTCTCCCCGTCCCCCTTTTTTGTTTTCCTTTTCCTCTTTTTCTCCCCCTTCCTTTCCCCCCCCCCCCCCCCTCGGCCCCATTCCTTTTTCCTTCCCCATCGTCCCCTTTTCTTCCAAAGCCCATTCCATTCGCAGTGCGATAGCGGCTCCTGCGAGCAGCCGAGCCCCGAGCAGCAGCGCTGCGTCTTGGCTCCCCCATTGCCCGCTGCTGAGCTCTTCCTGCCCTGGCTCCTCATTGGCTGAGCGCTGCTGCTTCCCCTTCCCCTTTTTGGCGACGCTTCACCACTCGCACAAACAGCCAGCAGACGCACATCTTTGCTGCCCAAACGCACGCAGGCCTTCATTGCTTCATTGCTTTCTCACCACTGCTCTCTTAACCAACGTGCGGTCGGAACTTGCGGCTCTCAGGTTTTCAGCATCAACACAGACACAGCCTCTGAATTGCTTCATTACCCCCCTGCCATTTGTGACCTTCCCGCTGCTCGTCGTTCTGCTCATCCGGCAGTCCTTCTGCAGTGCTGAGCTCGGCAGGAGGACAGAGGGGAGCAGCTGGGAGCCTCATAGCCTCCTCGCGTTCCCACGCAGCGGGACAGCGCTGCTGCGTGCGATGGCCCTGATTCCTCCCTCGTCCCCCTTTTCCTTTTTTTCCTCCCTCGTCCCCCATTTCCTTTTGTCCTTCTCATGCACTTCCTGCTATCCCGCCTTATCCCCGCCTTCCCTCATCTCTTCTTGCACTCTTTGACCCCTTTTTCTCCCCCCATCCTTATTTCTCTTCACATTCTCCTGTTCTTTTTTCCCCTTTCCTCTTCTTCGTCCCCAGCTCCGCTTCCCCCACCTCACGTCCCCTTTCTTCTGTCCCTGTACCCCATTTTTCCCTTTTTTTCCCCACCCCCTTGTTTTGTTCTCTGCTGTCCCCTATTCCCTTTTTCCTCTTTGCTCTCTCTCTCCTTTCTTCCCCCTCATCCTGTTACAGAAGAGAGTGAAGGAATGATGGACAAGCTGGTGCAGGATGGCAGCAGCAGGGTGGAAGCCCAGGTGGGTGCGATGAAGCCGGGGGTGGGCCTGGGTGGAGCCCGAGCCCTGCCTGAGCTCATTTAAGGGCTGGGAATGGCAGGGCTCAGATGTGTGCCTGGGCTTCTGGTGTCAGTGAGGTTGGGTGAGCAGTGAGGTTTGGGAGGGACCGACTTGTTGGCCTTGAGATTGATGCCCAGCTCCTTGCTCGTCGCATTCTGTTTGGCTCGAGGTTCCGGACACGGCTTGCTCTTCTAAGCAGTGTGAGGACTGCGAGAAAGGCTTTGTTGGATGCAGCAGGAAAGCACAGCCGCTGGTGGATGCCAGTGTCCGCTCCTGAGGCTCTGCGCCAAGGTACGTGGATCCCTGCCGTCTCCTGTTTCACACGCTCGCTCAGGTCCTTTGGGGCTTGGTGTCGCTTGTCCCTCGTGCTCCCGTTGCTGTCACCGCGTGTTGTTCCTTTCCCCATGCTCAGCTCTGCCCAGTGCTGATGGGATGCCAGTGCCACCTGCTGCTCTTAAGAAAAGGTAGGTTTGATTTCTTTTGGTTTCCATAGCATTTGCTACACTTTCATTCTGTCTCTCTTCTTTTTTTTTTTTTTTTTCTTTTTGCTCTCAATAAATGGCAGGTTCAATTCCTTTTGGCTCCTGTAGTGTTTGCTACACGTGTGTTCTGTTTCTCTTCTCTTTTTTCCATGTTGCCTGGCGGTGCCTGGCTGGAGTTCCCATGAGCCCCGGGCCCACTTGTGACCAAGTGAGGTGCCAAAAACAGAGGTATCTCCTAAACAGGCTTGTGCTGAGTGCTGTCCTCGTCTTGGGCTTTGTCCAATGCCCACCTTTCTTTTCTAGCCCACTTTGTTGAGGATGGCGTGTGAGGCTTTCTTCTTTCTTTGTAGGATTGGCGACTCCAGCCCCAGAAGTAGCAGGCATTTGGGGATGTCCAAGGTTCCGCAGTGAACGTGTCCTGTTCCTGGTAAAGGTGTGGGCGTTCCTGGACACGAAGGTATCTATCTTCATGCCTTGCCCATGTGCCCAGTCCCCCACCAGATGCTGTTTGCCTTTTGGCCCCCCTGATTTGCTGTACTGCTGCGCCCTGATCCTTGCAGAGGGGTAAGTGACACCTTTGTCCCTTCCGGAAAGCGCTCTCCACTTTCCTCTCGTTGGTCACCGGCAGCGCCGTCCTTCTCTCGCCAGGCTCTCATTGGTCAGCGGCAGCGCCGTCCCGCCCTCGCCAGCCTGTGATTGGTCAGCGGCAGTGCCGTCCCGCCCTCATGTGTCTCTCATTGGTGATCGACAGCACCGTCCCGCCCTATCAGCGTCTCATTGGTCATCGACAGCTCCATCCCGCCTCCGCCAGCATCTCATTGGACAGCAGCAGCCTTTTGCCCGCCTTTTGCCCGCCTTTTGCCCGCCTTTTGCCCGCCTTTTGCCCGCCTTTTGCCCGCCTTTTGCCCGCCTTTTGCCCGCCTTTTGCCCGCCTTTTGCCCGCCTTTTGCCCGCCTTTTGCCCGCCTTTTGCCCGCCTTTTGCCCGCCTTTCTCTTCACTTTCCCCCGGCCCCTTTTCCCCTTTCCTCTTCTTTCTTCTCATGTCCTGTTTTTTTCTTCCAGGTCTGCTTTTTACTCTCCCTTCCCCCTTTTATCTCCCTGTTTTTTGCCCATTTGTCCCCCTCTTCTTCTCTCTCCTTTTCTCCTCCTCATCTCCTTTTCTTTTTCCTCCCTTTCTCATTCTTCTTTTCCCCTTTCCCCTCTTGTCTTCCTTTCCCTTTGGCCCCCTTTACTCTCCTCTTCTTCGCCCCCTTCTTCTTCTTTTTGCCCCCATCCCCACTTCCCCTTTCACCCCCTTTACCCCTTTTCCTCCCCATCTCCCTTTTCTCCCCGTCCCCCTTTTTTGTTTTCCTTTTCCTCTTTTTCTCCCCCTTCCTTTCCCCCCCCCCCCCTCCTCTGCGGCCCCATTCCTTTTTCCTTCCCCATCGTCCCCTTTTCTTCCAAAGCCCATTCCATTCGCAGTGCGATAGCGGCTCCTGCGAGCAGCCGAGCCCCGAGCAGCAGCGCTGCGTCTTGGCTCCCCCATTGCCCGCTGCTGAGCTCTTCCTGCCCTGGCTCCTCATTGGCTGAGCGCTGCTGCTTCCCCTTCCCCTTTTTGGCGACGCTTCACCACTCGCACAAACAGCCAGCAGACGCACATCTTTGCTGCCCAAACGCACGCAGGCCTTCATTGCTTCATTGCTTTCTCACCACTGCTCTCTTAACCAACGTGCGGTCGGAACTTGCGGCTCTCAGGTTTTCAGCATCAACACAGACACAGCCTCTGAATTGCTTCATTACCCCCCTGCCATTTGTGACCTTCCCGCTGCTCGTCGTTCTGCTCATCCGGCAGTCCTTCTGCAGTGCTGAGCTCGGCAGGAGGACAGAGGGGAGCAGCTGGGAGCCTCACAGCCTCCTCGCGTTCCCACGCAGCGGGACAGCGCTGCTGCGTGCGACGGCCCTGATTCCTCCCTCGTCCCCCTTTTCCTTTTTTTCCTCCCTCGTCCCCCATTTCCTTTTGTCCTTCTCATGCACTTCCTGCTATCCCGCCTTATCCCCGCCTTCCCTCATCTCTTCTTGCACTCTTTGACCCCTTTTTCTCCCCCCATCCTTATTTCTCTTCACATTCTCCTGTTCTTTTTTCCCCTTTCCTCTTCTTCGTCCCCAGCTCCGCTTCCCCCCACCTCACGTCCCCTTTCTTCTGTCCCTGTACCCCATTTTTCCCTTTTTTTCCCCACCCCCCTTTTTTTGTTCTCTGCTGTCCCCTATTCCCTTTTTCCTCTTTGCTCTCTCTCTCCTTTCTTCCCCCTCATCCTGTTACAGAAGAGAGTGAAGGAATGATGGACAAGCTGGTGCAGGATGGCAGCAGCAGGGTGGAAGCCCAGGTGGGTGCGATGAAGCCGGGGGTGGGCCTGGGTGGAGCCCGAGCCCTGCCTGAGCTCATTTAAGGGCTGGGAATGGCAGGGCTCAGATGTGTGCCTGGGCTTCTGGTGTCAGTGAGGTTGGGTGAGCAGTGAGGTTTGGGAGGGACCGACTTGTTGGCCTTGAGATTGATGCCCAGCTCCTTGCTCGTCGCATTCTGTTTGGCTCGAGGTTCCGGACACGGCTTGCTCTTCTAAGCAGTGTGAGGACTGCGAGAAAGGCTTTGTTGGATGCAGCAGGAAAGCACAGCCGCTGGTGGATGCCAGTGTCCGCTCCTGAGGCTCTGCGCCAAGGTACGTGGATCCCTGCCGTCTCCTGTTTCACACGCTCGCTCAGGTCCTTTGGGGCTTGGTGTCGCTTGTCCCTCGTGCTCCCGTTGCTGTCACCGCGTGTTGTTCCTTTCCCCATGCTCAGCTCTGCCCAGTGCTGATGGGATGCCAGTGCCACCTGCTGCTCTTAAGAAAAGGTAGGTTTGATTTCTTTTGGTTTCCATAGCATTTGCTACACTTTCATTCTGTCTCTCTTCTTTTTTTTTTTTTTTTTCTTTTTGCTCTCAATAAATGGCAGGTTCAATTCCTTTTGGCTCCTGTAGTGTTTGCTACACGTGTGTTCTGTTTCTCTTCTCTTTTTTCCATGTTGCCTGGCGGTGCCTCGCTGGAGTTCCCATGAGCCCCGGGCCCACTTGTGACCAAGTGAGGTGCCAAAAACAGAGGTATCTCCTAAACAGGCTTGTGCTGAGTGCTGTCCTCGTCTTGGGCTTTGTCCAATGCCCACCTTTCTTTTCTAGCCCACTTTGTTGAGGATGGCGTGTGAGGCTTTCTTCTTTCTTTGTAGGATTGGCGACTCCAGCCCCAGAAGTAGCAGGCATTTTGGGATGTCCAAGGTTCCGCAGTGAACGTGTCCTGTTCCTGGTAAAGGTGTGGGCGTTCCTGGACACGAAGGTATCTATCTTCATGCCTTGCCCATGTGCCCAGTCCCCCACCAGATGCTGTTTGCCTTTTGGCCCCCCTGATTTGCTGTACTGCTGCGCCCTGATCCTTGCAGAGGGGTAAGTGACACCTTTGTCCCTTCCGGAAAGCGCTCTCCACTTTCCTCTCGTTGGTCACCGGCAGCGCCGTCCTTCTCTCGCCAGGCTCTCATTGGTCAGCGGCAGCGCCGTCCCGCCCTCGCCAGCCTGTGATTGGTCAGCGGCAGTGCCGTCCCGCCCTCATGTGTCTCTCATTGGTGATCGACAGCACCGTCCCGCCCTATCAGCGTCTCATTGGTCATCGACAGCTCCATCCCGCCTCCGCCAGCATCTCATTGGACAGCAGCAGCCTTTTGGCCCGCCTTTTGCCCGCCTTTTGCCCGCCTTTTGCCCGCCTTCCCCCGGCCCATTTTCCCCTTTCCTCTTCTTTCTTCTCATGTCCTGTTTTTTCCTTCTAGGTCTCCTTTTTACTCTCCCTTCCCCCCTTTTATCTCCCTGTTTTTTGCCCATTTGTCCCCCTCTTCTCCTCTCTCCTTTTCTCCTCCTCATCTCCTTTTCTTTTTCCTCCCTTTCTCATTCTTCTTTTCCCCTTTCCCCTCTTGTCTTCCTTTCCCTTTGGCCCCCTTTACTCTCCTCTTCTTCGCCCCCTTCTTCTTCTTTTTGACCCCATCCCCACTCCCCCTTTCACCCTCTTTACCCCTTTTCCTCCCCATCTCCCTTTTCTCCCCGTCCCCCTTTTTTGTTTTCCTTTTCCTCTTTTTCTCCCCCTTCCTTTCCCCGCCCCCACCCCTTGACCCCATTCCTTTTTCCTTACCCATCGTCCCCTTTTCTTCCAAAGCCCATTCCTTTCACAGTGCGATAGCGGCTCCTGCGAGCAGCCGAGCCCCGAGCAGCAGCGCTGCGTCTTGGCTCCCCCGTTGCCCGCTGCTGAGCTCTTCCTGCCCTGGCTCCTCATTGGCTGAGCGCTGCAGCTTCCCCTTTTTGGCGACGCTTCACCACTCGCACAAACAGCCAGCAGACGCACATCTTTGCTGCCCAAACACACGCAGGCCTTCATTGCTTCATTGCTTTCTCACCACTGCTCTCTTAACCAACGTGCAGTCGGAACTTGCGGCTCTCAGGTTTTCAGCATTAACACAGACACAGCCTCTGAATTGCTTCATTACCCCCCTGCCATTTGTGACCTTCCCGCTGCTTGTTTTTCTGCTCATCCGGCAGTCCTTCTGCAGTGCTGAGCTCGGCAGGAGGACAGAGGGGAGCAGCTGGGAGCCTCACAGCCTCCTCGCGTTCCCACGCAGCGGGACAGCGCTGCTGCGTGCGACGGCCCTGATTCCTCCCTCGTCCCCCTTTTCCTTTCTTTCCTCCCTCGTCCCCCTTTTCCTTTCTTTCCTCCCTCGTCCCCCTTTTCCTTTTTTCCTTCTCATGCACTTCCTGCTATCCCGCCTTATCCCCGCCTTCCCTCATCTCTTCTTGCACTCTTTGATCCCTTTTTCTCCCCCCAGCCTTATTTCTCTTCACATTCTCCTGTTCTTTTTTCCCCTTTCCTCTTCTTCATCCCCAGCTCCGCTTCCCCCCACCTCACGTCCCCTTTCTTCTATCCCTGTACCCCATTTTTCCCTTTTTTTCCACGCCCCCTTTTTTGTTCTCTGCTGTCCCCTATTCCCTTTTTCCTCTTTGCTCTCTCTTCTTTCTTCCCCCTCATCCTGTTACAGAAGAGAGTGAAGGTATGATGGACAAGCTGGTGCAGGGTGGAAGCCCAGGTGGGTGCGATGAAGCCGGGGGTGGGAGTGGGTGGAGCCCGAGCCCTGCCTGAGCTCATTGAAGGGCTGGGAATGGCAGGGCTCAGATGTGTGCCTGGGCTTCTGGTGTCAGTGGGGTTGGGTGAGCAGTGAGGTTTGGGAGGGACCGACTTGCTGGCCTTGAGATTGATGCCCAGCTCCTTGCTCGTCGCATTCTGTTTGGCTCGAGGTTCCGGACACGGCTTGCTCTTCTAAGCAGTGTGAGGACTGCGAGAAAGGCTTTGTTGGATGCAGCAGGAAAGCACAGCCGCTGGTGGATGCCAGTGTCCGCTCCTGAGGCTCTGCGCCAAGGTACGTGGATCCCTGCCGTCTCCTGTTTGACACGCTCGCTCAGGTCCTTTGGGGCTTGGTGTCGCTTGTCCCTCGTGCTCCCGTTGCTGTCACCGGGTGTTGTTCCTTTCCCCATGCTCAGCTCTGCCCAGTGCTGATGGGATGCCAGTGCCACCTGCTGCTCTTAAGAAAAGGTAGGTTTGATTTCTTTTGGTTTCCATAGCATTTGCTACACTTTCCTTCTGTCTCTCTTCTTTTTTTTTTTTTTTTTCTTTTTGCTCTCAATAAATGGCAGGTTCAATTCCTTTTGGCTCCTGTAGTGTTTGCTACACGTGTGTTCTGTTTCTCTTCTCTTTTTTCAGTGTTGCCTGGCGGTGCCTCGCTGGAGTTCCCATGAGCCCCGGGCCCACTTGTGACCAAGTGAGGTGCCAAAAACAGAGGTATCTCCTAAACAGGCTTGTGCTGAGTGCTGTCCTCGTCTTGGGCTTTGTCCAATGCCCACCTTTCTTTTCTAGCCCACTTTGTTGAGGATGGCGTGTGAGGCTTTCTTCTTTCTTTGTAGGATTGGCGACTCCAGCCCCAGAAGTAGCAGGCATTTTGGGATGTCCAAGGTTCCGCAGTGAACGTGTCCTGTTCCTGGTAAAGGTGTGGGCGTTCCTGGACACGAAGGTATCTATCTTCATGCCTTGCCCATGTGCCCAGTCCCCCACCAGATGCTGTTTGCCTTTTGGCCCCCCTGATTTGCTGTACTGCTGCGCCCTGATCCTTGCAGAGGGGTAAGTGACACCTTTGTGCCTTCTGGAAAGCCTTTTCCCCGCCTTTTCTCGCAGGACATGAGAACAAGGAAAAGGAAAGGGGAAAAGGGGATGGGGAAGGTGAAGAGGGGACCCATAAGTGACCCTCAAGTGCCCCATAAGTGCCCCATGGCACCCCACAAATGACCCAAAGAGCTCCAGAGTTACCTGTGACCCACAGTTGCCTTCTGCAGTGACCTACAAGTGCCCCATAAGTGACACATCAGCGCCCCACAAGTGACCCACAACTGCCCCACCAGCGCCCCACAGCTGAGATGGCAGCGCCCTATAACTGTCACATCAGTGCCCGAAAAGCGCCCCACAAGTGCCACATCAGCACCCCAGAAGTTGCACATCAGGGACCCACAAGTGACCCACAAAGCCCCACAAGTGACACATCAGGTGCGCACCAGTACCCAACAAGCGACCCATCAGCGCCCCACAAGTGACCTGTGACCCACAAGTGCCCCCCCAGTGCCCCATAAGTACACCCCCAGTGGCACATCAGCGCCCCACACATGCCCCACCAGCGCCCCATAAGTTCCCCACAAGTGCCCTAGTAGAGACCCATAAGAGACAACAAGTTCCCCACAACTGCCCCACATATGGCACAGGAGGGACCCACAAGTGACCTAGAACTGAAAAACAAGAGACCCACAGGTGCCCCGTCAGTGCCCTACAAGTGCCCCACAAGATCCCCACAAGTGGCACTGCAGGGACCCATGAGTGACTCACAAGTGCCCTTAAGTGCCCCACAAGTACCCTCCAGTGACACAAGTGACCCACAAGCGCCCCCCTAGAGCCCCAAAAGGGCCCCACAAGTAACCCATCAGCACCCCACAAGTAACCCACAGCACCCAGTGACCCACAAGTGCCCCATCAGCTCCCCACAAGTCGCTTACGACCCACAAGTGCCCCCCCAGTGCCCCAAAAGTGCCCCACAAGTGGCACAGCAGGGACCCACAAGTGACCTAGAACTGAAAAACAAGAGACCCACAGATGCCCCGTCAGTGCCCTACAAGTGCCCCACAAGATCCCCACAAGTGGCACTGCAGGGACCCATGAGTGACTCACAAGTGCCCTTAAGTGCCCCATAAGCGCCCCATGGCACCACACAAGTGACCCAGAGAACTCCAGAGTGACCTGTGAACCACAACTCCCTTGCGCAGTGACCCACAAATGCCCCACAACAAACACAGCAGCGCCCCACAAGTGCCCCATCAGCAACCCACAAGTGGCCCACAAGAGCCGACCAGTGTCCCATAAGCGACCCATAAGCGCCCCACCAGTGACCCACAAGTGACACATCACCGCCCCATAACTGCTCCACACAGCCCCATAAATGACCCACAGCACCCTGTGACCCACAAGTGCCTCCCAAGTGACCCGCAAGGGGCATATCAGCGCCCCAGAAGTGGTCCATAAGTGACCCATGGAGTCCCACAATTGCCCCACCAGTGCCCCACAAGACACAAATCAGCACCCCACAACTGACCCCCTAGAGCCCCACAAGTAACCCATCAGCGCTTCAGAACTACCCCATTGGTGCCCCACAAATGATCCACAGCATCCTGTGCCCCACAAGTGCCCCGTCAGCATCCCACAAGTCATCTATGACTCACAAGTGCCCCTCCAGTGCCCCACAAACGACCCACGGCAGCCTGTGACCCACAAGTTACACACAGGGACCCACAAGTGCCCCACAAGTGACTCACCGAGCCGCCGAGCCCCGCCATTCAGCCGGCAGCAAAGTGGTGGCCGCGCTCTCTGCTGTTACCGCGTGGCCGATGCGGGGAACTGCCACTGCCCGTTGCTGAGGCCCACAGGCGGCACGATGCATGCGTCCACCAACGCGGAAGCGCCGTTCTGACCACTCTGCGCAGCTCCTCCGCTGCTCTCTATGGTGCTCAGTCCTCCACTCATAGCGAACACGCGCCCAGCAATTCGCGGCAGCCATTGCTTCCACAGAGCGCTGCTGCTCCGGGCCAGGAGCCGATTCTCACACCGCCGGCTCAGCCGTTTTCTCCCCTTCTACCCTGGGAAACCCCCCGTCTATTGCCGCCGTTTTAGCCTGGAGCCCAGCCGGGAACTGAACGGTTCGGCTCCCCGCTGCCCCTCGCCGCCCCGGGAGCCAGCAAACGTCCCCTTCCACCCCCAGCCCTACGCTGCTCGCCAGCTGTTTCAAAGCCCGCACAGCACCAGTGGAACACGAGCGGCTCGGCGCGCTTTGGAGTGGCTCGTGGCGGCTCGGCGCAATTCGGAGTGGCTCTCAGCAGCTCACGGCGCTTCGGCGTGCCATGGAGCGCCTTGGAGGGCTTCCGAGGAGCTCGAAGGGCTTCAGAGGGGCTCGCAGCGGCGCGGAGGGGCTTGGAGCGATTCCGAGCGGCTCGGCGCAATTCGAAGCAACTCGGAGCGATTTGCAGCAATTCGAAGCAATTCGCAGTGGCTCGGAGGTTTGCGATGGCGGTAGCGGCGCGCAGCAGCTCAGCCCCAGCAGTCCCATGAAAGCAACACCTATGCGGAAATCCGGCCGCTGACGCTCTTTATATACGCGCACGTTTCTGCCACGCATGCGCACTTGTGCCGTAGCACTGCGCACGCGCCAGTTCCCATACAGCACTGCGCATGCGCTGCATTTGATGACCTACTGCGCATGCACGAACATCCCCGCCATTTTGCGCATGCGCGTTGCCGGACAGCACACCGCGTGCTCGTCGCAAAAAAAAAAAAAAAAAAAAAAAAAGAAAATAGTTGCAGTACCCATTTTTGGCCACACGACGGCAGAAGAGACCGTGAAATAAAAATAACATAGAAATAAAATAAAATAAAAAATAAAAGAAAAAAAATGTAACAAATAAAATAAAAATTAAAAGAAATTAAAAAATAAGTAAAAAATAAAAAAGATAAAAAATAAAAAATAAAATTAAGAAATAATAATAAAAATAAAAAATAAATTAAAAAAGAAAAGAAAAGAAAAGAAAAATATAAAATAAGAAAAAAATAAGAAATAAATAATAAAAATAAAAAATAAAAGAAAATAAATAAATAAAAAATAATAAATAATGAAAAATAAATAATAAGTAATAAGCAATAAGTAATAAGTAATAATGGCCACTTGTGGGTCACTTACTGGGCACTTCTGAGTGACTTGTGGGTCACTTGTGGGGCACTGGGGGGGCAGAAGTGGGTCCCTGCTGTGCCATTTATGGATCACTTGTAGGGCGTGGGGGGGGCACCTGTGGGTCATACGTCATTGTGGGGCTCCATGGGTCCCTTGTGGGTCCCTGCTTTGCCACTTGTGGGTCACTTATGGCTCAGTTACGGGCAGGGAAAAGGCGGGCAAAAGGCAGGGGGAGGAAGAGGCGGGAAACGGGGACGCGGAGGAAAAGGGGATGAAGTGGAACGGGGACAGAAAGGAAATGGGGATGGAAAAGGGAAAGATAGAGGAGATTGGGCTTTACCAACATCCCGTAGCTGTGCATCCATGGTCTGCACCCTGTCATTCCTGGGAACGTACCAACCTGCTTGGCAGTGGGTGGCTCAGGGCTTTGGCAGAAGGCATCTTTCCTGACAACGCAGAGAGCTGTGCTCATGTGCCACCATTAAAGCATGCAGGGTTGTTCCAGTGTTCCCCCATTAAACGCAGCAGAGCTGCGCTAATATTCCCCCATTCAAACCACCTCACCTTTGCCACTGTGCCACCTTGAAAGGCATTAGAGTAGAGGAATGTGACAGCATTCAACCCAGCAAAGCTGTGAACCGTGCCACCAGTAAACACAGCAGAGCTGTGCCAGCGTGCCAACATGAAATCCAGCAGAGCTGTGCCACTACAAGAACCAGAAGAGCTGTACCAGCATTCAAGCCAGCAGACTTGTGCCAAGGTGTTCCAATTATACCCAGCAGTGCTGTGCCAATGTGCCACCAGTAAGCCCAGCAGTGCTTTGCCAATATGTTCCCATTAAACTAAGCAGGGCTGTACCAATGCGTTCTTTAGTGATGAGCACATCCTTGCTAAGTCCTTGAAAGTAATCCGCCATGCGATATGGGGAGATACTGCCCACAACGCCTAAGGGACCCCATTTCATAATGGGAACTGCTAGCTCATAACAGGGGGATCCCACAAATCTGGAATCATTTTCTCCAGAAGAGTATTGTTCTCCCCCTTGACCCATTGATACAAATTACCAAGAAAAGACATGATGTACATTTTAGTACATTTGGCCTGCCTGGCTCGCCAAGTGGATAGTCAAAGAATATTAGGATGTTATAATCACGAAGTAAACAGAGTTAAGCAAAGCAGACCATGATAACAAAAGAGAACAAACAGAAGGCTGACCCCCATTGTGGCCTCACTCACCGAACACCAGCAGAGGCGATCTCCAGAAGAGATCTTTTCCCACTAGTAACCAGCTCTTCAATAGGTCTAGGAGGGGTGCAGCCTGGCTTCCGGCAGCACAGCTGAATTGCCTTCACCTGAGCTCCTCTGGCTGACTCATTGCTCGCCTCAGCTGATCAATCAGAGGTTCAGGCTGTGACTCAGCCGTCCCCATACGCACCGCTTTACTGTGTTTCCTGGTGGCACACGGGCACTGCTCTGCTGGATTTCATGGGGACACATTGGCACAGCCCTGCTAGGTTGAATGGTGGAATAGTGCACGGCTACGTGGTGTTGAATGGGGGCACACTGGCACAGCTCTGCTTGTTTGAATGGTAGCACATTGCACAGCTCTGCTCGGTTTATTACTGACACACTGGCACCACTCTGCTGGGTTAGTGGTGACATATTGGCAAAGCACTGCTGGGATTAATGGAGGCACACTGCACAGCTCTGCTGCAGGGTTTCTTAGTGACACGTTGTCCCAGTTCTGCAGGGTAAAATGGGGCCACACTGGCACAGCTCTGCTGGTGACACTACGCCTGGCTCTGAAGGTTGTGTCCATGGCCTTTCGATCCAGCGACAGTTTGTTGCAGTGTGGTTCTCCGTGACTGCACTTGCGCATTCTGTGGCCACAAGGGTAGAAGGGAAAACCCTCTCTTCAGAGGCAACTGGAAATTTGAGGAGCAACAGATGTTGTGCTCTCAGGGAGCACGTTCAAAAAAGTCGGGAGCACTGGCAAGGGACCTAGAGGAAAAACGCCCACCAAAAGATTGTAAAATGTGCCACCATTAAGCCTCGCAGAGCTATGCCACCATTCAACCTAGCACAGCTGTGCCATGCGTCACCAGGAAACCCAGAAGAGATGAGCCAGTGTGTCTCCATGAAACCCAGCATATGTTTGCCAGTCTTTCACCATTCAACCCATCAGAGCTGTGCAAGGTGTCACTATTGAACAGCGCAGAGCTGTCAATTGTGTTACCATTAAGAACAACGAAGCTCTGCTGGATTAAAGACAGCAGAGGTGTGCTAATGTGCCACCATCAAACCCAGAGAGCTGTGCTCATGTGCCACCATTGAAGCATGCAGGGTTGTTCCAGTGTTCCCCCATTAAACCCAGCAGAGCTGTGCTAATGCTCCTCCATTAAAAAAAACATAACCTTTGCCACTGTGCCACCTTGAAGGCATAAGAGATGAGGCATATGGTGACGCAGAGCCAGGCGTAGTGCAATCTTCGTATTTTTACACGAGGCGAAGTCCGAACATCTCTGTTTGTATGTGTGCAGAAGAGCCCGGTACTCGGAGAAAAGCAGCCGACTGCAGTCGCCCTTTCCCAGCGACCGAGAAAAACGAGACCGCTGCTGGAGGCTGCAAGCGGCATTGGGGATAAGCGCGTTTACTCGTGCAGCAACGGCAAACGCTCCGGAGCGGTTCGCCGCGGTGCCGCTTACAAACAGCGACAGCATGTAGTGCCATTCCGATGCTGAGAACTTGCCAAGACTTCCTGCCTTCTCCAGTGCTTTCAATGGGGTTTTTTCTGTACGCGGTGCGGACTACAGCGCTCCCTACTATTTCGATTGTGCTCCCAAGGAGCACAACATCTGTCGCTCCTCGCATTTCCCGTTCCCTTTTCAGAGCGTTTTCCCTTTGACTCTTGTCACAGAACGCAGACGTGGAGCCATGGAGAAGCACAGCGCATCGAATTGTCGCTCGATCCAAAGGCATGGACACAGCATTCAGAGCAAGGGGTAGAGCATTCTTCGTTTTTTTACACGAAGCGAAGCCCTGGAAGCAGACAAGCTCAGCCTGATCCTGCTTTGGGTTACGGTTAAGTGGTACTATTCAGTATTACTGCTAATTGTGAAGGGTTACCCTTCTGCACGGTCTTTAGAGTTACTGTTTTAGATTTTAAGGAAAGAGCGATCTGTTAGCCCCATGGGGTTTACTCGCATGTCTTTGCCACATCCTGCATCGTGCTGATGCCACTTCTGGTGGCCCCAGGAGGTGGTTATTTCCATATTCACGATGCTTGCGAGAATTCCTGCATTGTTTGTTTGTTTGTTTGTTTTTTGCTATTCCCCAACTATTTCTGCAACGGGAATGGGATTAATAGCCAAGTGTACTTGGAGATGAATGCCCACTGCGAGGAGCTGAGCTGCCCAACCTGGCTGTAAAGCAGCCCGCTGCTTGGACTCCTTGGTCTCGGTGGCACCAGCTGCGTGCCGCTATGTTCCCCAGAGGCCTCTTGGAAGGTATAAAATGTGCCTCGATGCTGACCAGCAGCGCGCTGTGCCCATGGTTCCCGACCCTGCGGCAGGTATCTCGCCTGATTTGTGTCTCAATCCCTTTCTGCACTTTTCCAGGATGCTGTTGGTGCCACTACAGAGGAGGAGCGGCTGGTCAGAATGCGGGACGTCATCCAGCAGCTGCCCGCTCCTCACTACAGGTCAGTGCTGCCCTCAGCCTGCTGAGCTCAGCCCTGCTGCACTTCAGAGGGCAATGGTGCGATTCCAGGCTTTGTCTCACGCGAGCAACGGGATGCCTGGGTGTGCTGAAACGCTGCATGGGGTTAATTTGTGGGGTCAGTTCCTGGGCACGGGGGCACGCTTGGTGCAGCTGATGGCTGTGGCTGTGCTGTGCTGGGGCTGGGTGCTGCAGCGTGGCGCTTGGTCAAGTTGGATCTACTTCCTCTTCAGCGACAGTAGCAGTAATAACAACTAGTGTGAATTGAGGTTTGCTTTGTGAGTGGCAGCACGGCATGGTGAACATCTGCCTCTCTTGTTTTCCAGGGCACCTGATGAGACACTTGGCCTGTCTGTCTGCGAACAGCTCTGTCACCAACATGCACGCTAAGAACTTAGCCATTGTGTGGGCTCCAAACCTCTTAAGGTCAACTTCTTTTTCCATTTCAACGCTTACATCTGTTCTCCAGTAAAATAAAGCAGTCCTCCCTTCTTCTGCACCACATGTGCTCTTCTCCTGTAAAATGTGCAGTGAGTGGCTGACAGCAGAGCAGGAGCCTGGACTGTTCTCCAACCCCACGTGGGCACAATTTCTAGCTGAGCATTGCTGCTCTCTTGTTTAGATGGGACTGGTGTGTCCTTGATCAGACAGGAGAACTTCTTCAGTGGCATCACTGATTGCCCACTGCAGAAGTCTCTGGAGCCCAGTTTGACAGCTTTGGGCTGCAACAGTTCAGACCTGGGGAAGCGATCTTGGCTGAATGACTTCTAAAACCTGCCTTTTCTACAGATCACAGCAGAGCGAGTCTGCCTGCGCCAGCGGGAGAGCTGCCTGCACGGAACTGCAGACGCAGTCAGCTGTGGTGGAATTCATCATCGACCACACAGACGTCCTCTTCTGCTCCACATCTGGACCTGACATTGCAGATGGAGCAGGTGAGTGTCTTCCTCCATTAGCTTTATCTTGGTCAGACACCTGGATCAAATGCAGGCCTTCTCCAAGTCCTTTGAAATATGCTTTTACGGCAAGGGGACAGCAGAATCCTGGGCTTAGGTTAGAATCTGGCACCCTGGTGCTGGGTGCTGAGAATGTGCAAGCCCAAACTTGACAAGAAGAAAACCGTCACCATCATGATGTTTTGCAAGCAGGTGAAGCTTGGTGAAAGTGTGGCAGCGAATCTTTCTGAGTTCACCGTACCTGCTTTCTGGGGTTTTTGTTTGCCTGTTTCAATACAGGGAGCTGCTCCTAATTACGACTGCGTCCTTTGCCATAGACACACCTCTGAGCACATGGTTGTTTTGAGCTGCTCTTCTTGCAGCGGCTCGGATAAGCAAATCTGAGAAAAACACAGCAGCTCCCGGACCTGCGATGGCTGTGCTGCCGCTTTCTGATCCTGGCTCTCACCTGTGGTTTTCCCTTCCAGGGCACAGATCTCTCTCAGGGCCACATGCCTGAATCCAGTTCCGGTTCACCTCGAAGCAGAGCTGTTGGTCAGACCTGCGGGCACTGGAAACTAGACGTGGCAGTGAGATGGGGCCGATGAGGTGTTAATGTCAGAGTCAGAGATGCTTTTGAAGTTCTTTTATGGCTGCACAATTCCCCAGCAAGCAGCTACGCCTTCCAGCTCATTCAAAGCCACCCTTTGATGCTGTCCTGTACAGCTGTGGAGCGTTTGCTCACATGCTCTGCATCTTGCTTGACACAGTTGAGGGGAATTTAGCCAGCAAGACTTCAGGGCTGAGCTGTGGGAATGGAACCATCCTCGACTGTTTGAAACAGAGCGAGTTTCTAAGCTGTGTTTCAGCAGGAACCAGGCGGTGCTAGGAACAAGCAACTGTTGGCACGAGCTCAGTGCAGCTCTTCCCTCACCCTGCGCCACGCACGGCTCACACCAAGTCCACCAGGCAGGATGAGCTCACCCAGACCCGGCGTCGCATTGGTCAGTGGCAACGCTGTCCCACCTCCACCAGCGTCTCATTGGTCATCGACAGTGCCGTCCCGCCCACACCAGTCTCTCATTGGTCAGTTGCAGTCCCATCCCGCCTCCGCCAGCGTCTTATTGGTCATCGGCAGCGCCATCCCACCCTCACCAGCCTCTAATTGGTCATCGGCAGCGCCGTCCCACCCCCCGCCAGCCTCTCATTGGTCAGTGGCAACGCAGTCCCGCCCTCGCCAGCATCTTACTGGTCATCGGCAGCACCGTTCCACCCTCGCCAGCCTCTCACTGGTCATTGGCAGCACCGTTCCGCCCTCGCCAGCCTCTCATTGGTCAACGGCTGCTCCGTCCCACCCCCACCAGCCTCTTATTGGCCATAGGCAGAGCCGTCCCACCCTCGCAAGGCTCTCATTGGTCATCGGCAACGCCATCCCGCCCCTGCCAGCCTATCATTGGTCAGTGGCAGCGCCATCCCCCCATCACCAGCCTCTCATTGGTCATTGGCAGCGCAGTCTCGCCCCCGCCAGCATCTTATTGGTCATTGGCAGTGCTGTCCTGTCCTCAGCAGCCTCTCATTAGTCATCAGCAGCGCCATCCCGCCCCCGTGTGCCTCTCATTGGTCATAGGCAGCGCCGTCCTGCCCTCGCCAGCCTCTTACAGCCTCTGATAAGGCTGTAGTCCAAACCTTGGTGCAGAGTGGTCTGCTGGGGCTCTGTGTCGCCCTCTAAGGCTCCAGTTTTGCCATTCCCGAAGGCAGGTGGCACCGATCCACTGGTACAGGATCCAAGAGAAATTAATGGCACGGCTCTCAATGACGCTTCTTTTAGGCCCTCCTTTCAGGTTGGGGTGAATCGTAATTTGGAAACACCTTTCTGCCTCCGTGGGCTGCCTTTCTCTTTTGGACTGGGTACCCGGGTTTTTGGTGGCTGAATTGAGGTGCGCTGGCTCTTAGCGCTGTTGTTAGCCAAAATATTAATTCTCTACTTCTATGCTCCTTTTTGAAACAAGCGCCCCAAAGCTGCACAGAATGGAGCAGATTGTCTGGAGGGAGATCGCACGGCACATGCGGGATGAGCGGGGGATCAGGCCCAGCAGCATGGGTTCACGAAGGGCAGCTCCTGTTTGACCAACCTGATCTCCTTTATGATGCGGTGACCCATCTGGTGGATGAGGGAAAGGCTGTTGATGTGCTCTACCTAGACTTCAGCAAAGCCTTTGACACCATCTCCCACAGCATCTCCTGCAGAAGCTGGCAGCCAGAGGCTTGGATGGCTGCACTCTTGGCTGGGTGAGGAGCTGGAGGGCCGGGCACAGAGAGTGGTGGTGAATGGAGTCAAATCCAGCTGGCGACCGGTCGTGAGCGGTGTTCCCCAGGGGTCGGTGCTGGGCCTGTCCTCTTCAATATCTTTATTGATGACCTGGATGAGGGCATCGAGTGCAGCCTCAGTAAATTCACAGATGACACCAAATTGGCTGGAAGTGTGGATCTGCCTGGGGGTAGCGAGGCCCTACAGAGGGACCTGGACAGGCTGGAGAGCTGGGCTGAAGCCAATGGGATGAGTTTCAACAAGGCCAAATGCCGGGTCCTGCACTTCGGCCACAACAACCCCAGGCGACGCTGCAGGCTTGGGGCGGTGTGGCTGGAGGACGGCGTAGAGGAAATGGACCTGGGGGTATTGATGGATGCTGGGCTGAACATGAGCCACAGTGTGCCCAGGTGGCCAAGAAGGCCAATGGCAGCCTGGCTTGCATCAGAAACAGCGTTGCAAGCAGGAGCAGAGAGGTGATTGTTCCCCTGTATTCAGCACTGGTGAGGCCGCACCTCGAGTGCTGTGTCCAGTTTTGGGCCCCTCACTGCAAGAAAGATATTGAGGCCCTGGAACGTGTTCAAAGGAGGGCAACAAAGCTGGTGAGGGGTCTGGAACACAGGGCTGCTGAGGAGAGGCTGAAGGAGCTGGGAATGTTCAGCCTGGGGAAGAGGAGGCTCAGGGGAGACCTCATTGCTCTCTATGACTGCCTGAAGGGAGGCTGTAGTGAGCTGGGGGTCGGCCTCTGCTCTCGTGTCATCAGTGGTAGGACCAGAGGGAATGGCTTCAAGCTACAGCAGGGGAGATTCAGGCTGGACATGAGGAAGTATTACTTCTCAGAAAGGGTGGTCAGGCAGTGGAATGGATGCCCAGGGAGGTGGTGGAGTCACCAAGCCTGGGGGTGTTCAAGGAAAGGCTGGATGTTGTGTTGAGGGACGTGGTTCAGTGGGAGCTGTTGGTAAGAGGTGAACGGTTGGACTGGAGGGGCTTTGAGCTCTGTTCCAACCTCAGTGATTCTGTGATTCTATGATTCTATGATAAGTGACCCATAGAGCCCCACAGTTGACCTGTAACCCACCAGTGCACTGCCGTGCCCCAGGAGTGACCCACAAGTGACACTGCAGGGACCAGCAAGTGCCCCACAAGTGACACATCAATGTCCCATAAGTCACCCACAAGTGACAAGTCAGGGTCTCACAGTTGCCCCACAGCGACCCACAAGTGACACAAAGAGCCCCCCTTGTGATCTGGGACCCAGAAGTGCAACCCCAGTGCTCCACGTGTGGCACAGCAGTGACCCACAAGTACCCCACAAGTGCCCCAGAGCGCCCTACAAGTGACCTGTGACCCACAAGTGGCCCCAAGTGCCCCACAAGTACCCTTCAAGTGCCAGCGCAGTGACCCACAAGTGACGCATAGAGCCCCACAAATGACAGGTACCCCCCCAGTGCCCCACAAGTGACACATCTGCACCTCATCACTGACCCAGAAGTGCCCCATGAGTGCCCCTCAACTGACCCAGAAGTGATCCAAAACGCCCCACAAGTCACCTGTGACACACAAGTGGTTCCCCAGTGCCCCACAAGTGACCCACAAGTGGCACAACAGGGACCCACAACTGCCTCCCAAGTGACACATCAATGCCCCATAAGTCACCCACAAGTGACAACTCAGGGTCCCACAAGTGGCACAGCAGCCACCCACAAGTGGCACCGCACTGACCCACAAGTGAACTGTGCCCCACAAGTGCCCCACAAGTGACACATCAGCACCCCACAAGTGCCCCTACAAATGACCTGTGACCCACAAGTGGCCCACAAGTGCCCCATAGGTACCCTTCAAGCGGCACTGCAGTGACCCACAAGAGACCCATAAGTGAGCCACAAGTGACGCATAGAGCCCCAGAAGTGACCTGTAACCCACAAGTGTCCTCCCAGTGCCCCACAAGTGCCCCACTGGTGACAAATCTGTGCCCCATAACTGACTCACAAGTGGCAAAGCAGGGCCCCACAAGTGCCCCGTAAGTGACACATCAGCACCCCATAAGTGCCCCACAAGTGACCCATAGAGCCCCAAGTGACCTGTGACCCCCAAGTGCAACTACAGTGCCCCACAAGTGACAAAGCAGCGGCCCATAAGTGACCCACAAGTGGCAAAGCAGGGACGCACAAGTGACCCTTAGATCCATAGAGACACATGGGGATGCCCTTAGCAATGCAGCTGTGCTGCCGGAAGGGGTGGAGCCAGGCTGCAGCCCTCCTAGACCTGTTTAAGAGCTGTGGGGCTCTTGTGGGGCACTTGTGGGGCACAGTTCACTTGTGGGTCAGTGCGGTGCCACTTGAAGGGTGCTTGTAGGTGGCTGCTGTGCCACTTTGTGGGACCCTGAGTTGTCACTTGTGGGTGACTTATGGGGCATTGATGTGTCACTTGGGAGGCAGTTGTGGGTCCCTGCTGTGCCACTTGTGGGTCACTTGTGGGTCAGTTAGGGGCTGCTGGTGTGCCACTTAAGGGACACTTTTCGGGCACTTGTGGGGCAGTGGGGTGCATTTGTGGGTCACAGGTCACTTGTGGGGCTCTATGGGTCACTTGTGGGGCACTGGTGGGTCCCTGTGATGCCACTTGTGGGTCACTTGTAGGTCAGTTCTGGGGCACTGATTTGTCACTAATGGGGCACTTGTGGGTCTCTCTGGGTCACTTGTGGGGCAGTTGGGGGGCACTTGAGTGTCACTTGGGGGTCACTTGTGGGGTGCAGATGTGTCACTTGTGGGGCAATTGTGGGGCACAGGTCAACTGTGGGGCGGTCTGCATCACTTGTGGGTCACTTATGGGGCACTTGTGGGAACCTGTGGGGCAATTCTGGGGCACAGGGGGGCACTTGTGGGTCACAGGTCACTGTTGGGCTCTATGGGTCACTTGTGGAGCACTTGTGGGTCACTTATGGGTCCCTTGTGAGACACTATGCGTCCCTTGTGGGGCGCTGGGGTCACTTGTGGGGCACAGTTGAGTCGTGGGGCTCTATGCGTCACTTGTGGGTCACTGCGCTGGCACTTGAAGGGTACTTGTGGGGCACTTGGGGCCACTTGTGGGTCACAGGTCACTTGTAGGGTGCTCTGGGGCACTTGTGGGGTACTTGTGGGTCACTGCTGTGCCACACGTGGAGCACTGGGGTTGCACTTCTGGGTCCCAGATCACAAGGGGGGCTCTATGTGTCACTTGTGGGTCGCTGTGGGGCAACTGTGAGACCCTGACTTGTCACCTGTGGGTGACTTATGGGGCACCGGGGTGGTACTTGTGGGTTACAGGTCACTTGCGGGGCACTATGGGTCACATGCCATAGGGACACATGGGGACTCTGTAGGGACACATGGGGAATCCATAGGGACACATGGGGATGCCATAGGGACATAAGGCGACTCCATAGGGACACATGGGGAATTAACAGGGACACATGGGGAATCCATAGGGACACATGGGGAATCCATAGGGACACATGGAGACTCCATAGGGACACATGAGGAATCCATAGGGACACATGGGGACTCCATAGGGACACATTGGGAGTCCATAGGGACACAAGGGGACTCCATAGGGACACATGGGGAATCAACAGGGACACATGGGGACTCCATAGAGACACATGGGGACTCCATGGGGACACATGGGGATGCCATAGGGACACATGGGGAGTCTGTGGTGACTCAATGGGACGCCATAGGGACACAGGGGGACGCCATAGGGACACAAGGGGACTCTGTAGGGACACATGGGGATGCCATAGGGACACATGGGGAATCCATAGGGACACAAGGTTATGCCATAGGGACACATGGGGAATCCATAGGGACACATGGGGAATCCATAGGGACACATTGGGAATCCATAGGAACACATGGGGAGGCATAGGGACACATGGGGACGCCATAGGGATACATGAGGACTCCATAGGGACACGTGGGGACGCCATAGGAACACATGGGGACTCTGTAGGCACACATGGGTACTCCATAGGGATACTTGGGGATGCCATAGTAACACATGGGGACACCGTAGGGACACATGGGTTGCCATAGGGACACATGGGGAATCCATAGGGAGACAAGGGGATGCCATAGGGACACATGGGGACGCCATAGGGACACAACGGGACTCCTTAGGGACACATGGCGACTCCATAGGGACACATGGGAACATCGTAGGGACACATGGTGACTCCATAGTGTCAAATGGGGATGACATAGGGACACATGGGGACTCGATAGGGACACATGGGGAATCCATAGGGACACAAGGGGACGCAATAGGGACACATGGGGAATCCATAGGGACACATGGGGACTCCATAGGAACACATGGGGACGCAATAGGGCACATGGGAACTCTGTAGGGACACCTGGGGACTCGGTATGGACAGATGGGGATGCCATAGGGACACATGAGGACTCCTTAGGGACACATGGGGACGCCATAGGGACACATGGGGACGCTGTAGGGACACATGGGGACTCCGTAGGGACACATGGGGAATCCATAGGGACCCATGGGGACTCCATAGGGACACACATAGGGACACACATGGGGACACACATAGGGACACACATGGGGACGCTGTAGGGACACATGGGGACTCCATAGGGACACATGAGGAATCCATAGGGACACATGAGGACGCCATAGGGACACATGGGGACACCGTAGGGACACATGGAGACTCCATAGGGACACATGGGAATGCCATAGGGACACATGGGGACTCTGTAGGGACACATGGGGACTCCATAGGGACACATGGGGAATCCATAGGGACACAAGGGGACTCCATAGGGACACAAGGGGACTCCGTAGGGACACATGGGGACTCCGTAGGGACACATGGGGATGCCATAGGGACACATGGGGAATCCATAGGGACACAAGGGGATGCCATAGGGACACAAGGGGACTCCATAGGGACATATGGGGATCCCATAGGGACACATGGGGACTCCTTAGGGACACATTGGGACACCATAAGGACACATGGGGATGCCATAGGGACACATGGGGACACCGTAGGGACACATGGGAACTCCATAGGGACACATGGGGACACCGTAGGGACACATGGGGATGCCATAGGGACACATGGGGACTCCATAGGGACACATGGGGACACCGTAGGGACACATGGGGATGCCATAGGGACACATGGGGAATCCATAGGGACACATGGGGACTCCATAGGGACACATGGGGATGCCATTGGGACACATGGGGACTCCATAGGGACACAAGAGGATGCCATAGGGACACGTGGGGACGCCATAGGAACACATGGGGATTCTGTAGGCACACATGGGTACTCCATAGGGATACTTGGGGATGCCATAGTAACACATGGGGACACCGTAGGGACACATGGGTTGCCATAGGGACACATGGGGATGCCATAGGGACACATGGGGAATCCATAGGGACACAAGGGGATGCCATAGGGACACATGGGGACGCCATAGGGACACAACGGGACTCCTTAGGGACACATGGCGATTCCATAGGGACACATGGGAACATCGTAGGGACACATGGTGACTCCATAGTGTCAAATGGGGATGACATAGGGACACATGGGGACTCGATAGGGACACATGGGGAATCCATAGGGACACAAGGGGACGCAATAGGGACACATGGGGAATCCATAGGGACACATGGGGAATCCATAGGGACACATGGGGGTGCCATAGGGACATATGGGGACTCCATAGGGACACATGGGGAATCCATAGGGACATATGGGGACTCCATAGGGACACATGGGGGTGCCATAGGGACACATGGGGAATCCATAGGGACACATGGGGGTGCCATAGGGACACATGGGGACTCCATAGGGACACATGGGGATGCCATAGGGACACATGGGGACTCCATAGGGACACATGGGGACGCTGTAGGGACACATAGGGACTCCATAGGGACACATGGGGATGCCATAGGGACACATGGGGTCTCCATAGGGACACATGGGGTCTCCATAGGGACACATGGGGACACCATAGGGACACATGGGGATGCCATAGGGACACATGGGGAATCCATAGGGACACAAGGGGATGCCATAGGGACACATGGGGAATCCATAGGGACACATGGGGATGCCATAGGGACACATGGGGACGCCATAGGGACACATGGGGAATCCATAGGAACACAAGGGGACTCCATAGGGACACAAGAGGACGCCATAGGGACCCATGGGGACTCCATAGGAACACATGGGGACGCAATAGGGCACATGGGAACTCTGTAGGGACACCTGAGGACTCGGTATGGACAGATGGGGATGCCATAGGGACACATGAGGACTCCTTAGGGACACATGGGGACGCCTTAGGGACACATGGGGACGCTGTAGGGACACATGGGGACTCCGTAGGGACACATGGGTAATCCATAGGGACATATGGGGACTCCATAGGGACACACATAGGGACACACATGGGGACGCTGTAGGGACACATGGAGACTCCATAGGGACACATGAGGAATCCATAGGGACACATGAGGACGCCATAGGGACACATGGGGACTCCATAGGGACACATGGGAATGCCATAGGGACACATGAGGACTCTGTAGGGACACATGGGGACACCATAGGGACACATGGGGACTCCTTAGGGACACATTGGGACACCATAAGGACACATGGGGATGCCATAGGGATACATCGGGAATCCATAGGGACACATGGGGACACCGTAGGGACACATGGGGAATCCATAGGGACACAAGGGGATGCCATAGGGACACATGGGGACTCCTTAGGGACACATTGGGACACCATAAGGACACAAGGGGATGCCATAGGGATACATCGGGAATCCATAGGGACACATGGGGACACCGTAGGGACACATGGGAACTGCATAGGGACACATGGGGACACCGTAGGGACACATGGGGATGCCATAGGGACACATGGGGACTCCATAGGGACACAAGGGGATGCCATAGGGACACATGGGGAATCCATAGGGACCCATGGGGACTCCATAGGGACACATGGGGAATCCATAGGGACACATGGGGACACCGTAGGGACACATGGTGACTCCATAGGGACACATGGGGACTCTGTAGGGACACATGGGGATGCCATAGGGACACATGGGGGCACCGTAGGGACACATGGTGACTCCATAGGGACACATGGGAATGCCATAGGGACACATGAGGACTCTGTAGGGACACATGGGGACTCCATAGGGACACATGGGGAATCCATAGGGACACAAGGGGACTCCATAGGGACACAAGGGGACTCCATAGGGACACATGGGGACTCCGTAGGGACACATGGGGACTCCGTAGGGACACATGGGGATGCCATAGGGACACATGGGGAATCCATAGGGACACAAGGGGATGCCATAGGGACACAAGGGGACTCCATAGGGACATATGGGGATCCCATAGGGACACATGGGGACTCCTTAGGGACACATTGGGACACCATAAGGACACATGGGGATGCCATAGGGATACATGGGGACACCGTAGGGACACATGGGAACTCCATAGGGACACATGGGGACACCGTAGGGACACATGGGGATGCCATAGGGACACATGGGGACTCCATAGGGACACATGGGGACACCGTAGGGACACATGGGGATGCCATAGGGACACATGGGGAATCCATAGGGACACATGGGGACTCCATAGGGACACATGGGGACTCCATAGGGACACATGGGGACTCCATAGGGACACATGAGGAATCCATAGGGACACATGGGGACGCCATAGGAACACATGGGGATTCTGTAGGCACACATGGGTACTCCATAGGGATACTTGGGGATGCCATAGTAACACATGGGGACACCGTAGGGACACATGGGTTGCCATAGGGACACATGGGGATGCCATAGGGACACATGGGGAATCCATAGGGACACAAGGGGATGCCATAGGGACACATGGGGACGCCATAGGGACACAACGGGACTCCATAGGGACACATGGCGATTCCATAGGGACACATGGGAACATCGTAGGGACACATGGTGACTCCATAGTGTCAAATGGGGATGACATAGGGACACATGGGGACTCGATAGGGACACATGGGGAATCCATAGGGACACAAGGGGACGCAATAGGGACACATGGGGACTCCATAGGGACACATGGGGAATCCATAGGGACACATGGGGGTGCCATAGGGACACATGGGGACTCCATAGGGACACATGGGGAATCCATAGGGACATATGGGGACTCCATAGCGACACATGGGGGTGCCATAGGGACACATGGGGAATCCATAGGGACACAAGGGGATGCCATAGGGACACAAGGGGACTCCATAGGGACACATGGGGACTCCATAGGGTCACATGGGGATGCCATAGGGACACATGGGGACTCCTTAGTGACACATGGGTATGCCATAGAGACACAAGGGGACTCCATAGGGACGCATGGGGAATCCATAGGGACACAAGGTTATGCCATAGGGTCACATGGGGAATCCATTGGGACACATTGGGACTCCATTGGGACACATGGGGTCGCCGTAGGGATACATGGGGATTCCTTAGGGACTCATCGGGACTCCATAGAGACACATGGGGATGCCATAGTGACTCATGGGGATGCCGTAGGGACACATGGGCATGACATAGGGACACATGGGGACACCGTAGGGACACATGGGGATGCCATATGGACACATGGGGATGCCATAGGGACACATGGAGACTCCGTAGGGACACAGAGAATCATAGAATCATAGAATCATGGAATCATGGAATCATGGAATCACCAGGTTGGAAAAGGCCTCAAAGCTCACCCAGTGCAACCGCCCAGCCATCACCAACAGCTCCCTTTGATCCGCCACCTTCACTGCACAGCCGTTCCTGCGTACATTTGTGTAGAACTTCCTATGCTGCAGTTTGTGACCGTTTCCTTTCATCCTGTCTCCACTCCCACTGAAAAGAGTCCGGCCTCGCCATGCTGCCCCCCACATCTCAGATATTCACAGACCTGGATCAGGTCCCCTCTCAGTCTTCTTTTCTCCAGGCTGAACAGACCCAGCTCACTCAGCCTTTCCCCATAGCAGAGATGCTCCAGGCCCTTACCATCTCGGTGGCCTCTTTCCAAGAGATCCCTGTCATTTCTTTTCCTCCGCTTCCCTTGCAGTGCAGTAAAAACAAACCAAAAGCAACCAACAACAGAACCCTCAAAATCTGGTGAACATCCAGCACTCGATGAAACGCAGAACTCTGACTGGGGACGGATGGGAGCCGATCAAGAGTTTATAAAAGACTGCAGACATAAGAACAGCAAGCCTGGAAGTGATACAGAGAAAGAGTCCGAGAAGCCAGGGGTGGCCTCAGGAAAGGCAAAGCCCTGATCTGATGGAAATGGACAGGGATATGAAGGGCAATAAGAAAAGCTTTTGTAAGTTCACACCGGTGATAAAAGGAAAAGCAGGGAAAACGTGAGCCCCGCTTAAAGGAGAAATGGAAGACTTGGTTCCCGGGAATAGAGAGAGGGTTGAATGATGAAGGCGAGAAGATGAGGACCAAAAGAAACTGCAATGTCATGCTTGTTCTCCAGGTTTTGTTCTCTTGCCAATAGAACCTAAGTCCTGGCTACACACAAAATGGAAAAAGACTGAACACAGTTTGGTCTGGAACTGATCCCTGGGTACTTTCTCTCTACGTGATACCTGCTAGCTTAGAAGACGAATCAATTATTATCTGTATCTATGAGTTAACACAGAAGAAATGCTTTGGGGTTTGTTTTCTGGCCTGTCTCTTAATGAGATCCCCTTCTCATAGTCTCTACACCCCTGTCACAAGATGATCTTTATACCTTTCAGAAGAAAGCCATCTCGAGGTGATGGAAAAAAGCTTGTATCAATTGGTCAGACGCATGCCATGAATGCAGGGATGGTTTGGAACGATGAACAGAGCAATGCAGAACAGCCGAGCAACTTGTAGAAAGAAACAGCAGCAACAGCTTCCATACCTGGCCTCACCAGTCTGAGATCCCATCTGTTTAACCCGGAACTTGTAAATATCCACTGGATCCATTCTGATGTCGAGCAATTTGTCCTCAATCATTTCCTTCGCCACTGGGGCCGAGATCTGCCTCAGTGTGTCCTGACCACGGGCACCACGGTTGAAACTTACAGCCATTTTAATGGCAGTAGGATTCCCAGTCACAATTGCATGGATTGGTCTACTTATGGTCATAGAATCATGTTACTAGTTTCTGGAAGGGGTGAGCTAATTTTTCTTCATTACCTGCTGCTATGGTTCTTGTAGGTTATGGTTACCTGTTAGGTATGGTCATATGGTCTTGTATGGTTACCTGCTATGGCGCTTATATCCCATTAGAAAGCACTGCCATGACATTCTTTTGCCATGTGACTTAGTTTAAAATATTTCCTTAAGGTGACAGCCTTTTCTCAGTTCTGTTGCTTTATTTGTCAGTGCTGCTCTGCAGACCTTGCTGTGACTCCGGGCTAGGCCTGGCCACTCATCAGGGTAGAGCTGCTGCCGTGATAGACACAGCTGTAGGGGGTGCAAGTTGAGTTGGGATACACGTAGCATGTGGGTTACAGGTTGTGTATGCCTGAGTATCTAACTCACACTAAAATGTCTTGCCTGTATGCATGTGGTGGCTGGAATCCCTTTGCATTGTAGAAGCAAAGTTCAGAGCCAGAAAGTAAGGGAACGCAAAATTATGAAAAAAAGAAGGAAATTTAAATGAATTTAAATTATGAAAATTTAATGAAATTATGAAAATAATGAAATTTAAATTATGAAAAAAAGAAGGAAAGGTCAAAAGAATGTTTCAAAAAGGCGAGTTGGGATTGTGTAAACATATAACACGTGTATTGATTAGAATTACATTTATGTTTATTAGGAATACAGTGTTAGTTCAATTGTTCAGGAAGTGTAGACTCTATAAGAATTGATTCTTACCAAATCAGAATCATTTTAAACAGCCTAAATTTTCAAAGCACTCATTGAACTGTGCATAAGCTTTGTTTGAGAAGCCCCTTATGCAAAAAGCCACTTTTTCTAGTGGATGAGCACACACGCTTTCTCTCAAAACAGTTTAATAATGGGGTGAGGCCAGAGGCCTCCTCCTGTTACCCCTGTCCAGGAAGAAGCACTCTGCACTTGCGTTTTCCAGAAGAGGTGACGGGCCTTGGCAGTGGGACGACTGGGATGCCAGCAAGGAAGTCAGGCTGGCCGTAAGTAAAAGTGAGAAACTTCATCTGGATGTAAATCTTGCCTTCATAACCTGGGGTTCCCTTGTTGCATCTGTTTGCAGAGGGACTGGGCTTTTTCCTGGTGATGGACTGACAAATTAACGAGGAAGATTCAGTCTGGATCAGATAGAATTGGAGCTGAAGGTCTCAGCAGCAGCATGAGAGGCCTAAACAGTGCCATCCTATGGACTCAGAAGGCTCAGGGTGCGTTGCAGTCATAAGGAATTCATGTTCTGTGAGACACTCACAGTAGGGGTTGCATGGGGAAGGCATTTGGCTTTTGATCTGAAATGTGCTGCATTGAACGCACTGCTCAAAGGGATGGTATGGGGCCAGAGCAATGGGAATCTGTGCCCTGAGATGCAATTAAGTCATATTATGGGCCCTGCAGACAAACGTAATGTCAACAGAAAGATCAGAATTTCCCTTCTCCCAGTAGAAGCTTTTAGTGGAAAAGAAAATAAGGCTTAAAATCATACTTTTAGAAAAATTATTGTTATCTGGGAGAGAATATCTGGACAGCATGGCAAACGCAGCTGAATGAAAGGATTTGCATTTGTAATTGGCTTGAAGCTAATTTCTTTTCCATTAGGATCTTCTCTCCCAAGGTTTAATAGTAATCAGAGGGCTGAAGAGGCTTCCCATGCCCTTCAGTTGCAGTAGCGTGTGCAGTTGGGTGAAGTCTGTGCCCTGTATCTCAAATCCCTGGGCACTGCCTGCCTTTCAACTACATTTCTGGCTTTTCATCCGATATTCCTACCCTTGTTTACAGATTCTTGATTTTACCTTGGTCATCCATTTTGGCTTCAGACATGTTTCTGGACTATGAACATTGACCTCTGACTAGGTTAACAAGAAAGAAAGCATGATTTTAGGTTTGCTCAAAGCTTGGCCGTGATTATGTGGGGACATTTTAGAACTCCAAGTTTGACTTTCATTTCATTCTGTTTTCTGTATCGTTTGCCATCTCTATCTGCATGTTTGGTGGCGTAGCTAACTTCATCTCCCCAGAGTCATCTATCCATTCATAAGTTTCTTGCTGGGATGAATCTCAGCTGTATTCACTCCTCTCTCTGCCTTATTCTCAGATTTGGTCATTTCCTCCTCCTTTTTTTTGTTTCTTTTCCCATGCATTTATTCAAGTGCAAACTTTTCCACGCAGTCCTTTCCTTCCTCTGGTGTCCAGGCAGTACTACTACCTCGTCTTCACACTGAGCTGATGAGATCTATTGCCACCCCGATTCAATCTGATCAGGTAGTCAAGAACTTCCTTGTTGCTTACACAATTTTTAAAACTTCCCCAACTATGCTTTTGAAGTGTTTCAGTCTCGTGAGGTTACTTCTGCAAGATCAAGGTTCTCAGAATTCATGCACCTCATGGTGCAGGAAATCTGATTTCTGGAGCTGTGTGTGCATGTGTGTTCCCACTTCACAACTGCTTCCAGATAATGGGGCTACCAACTCAGGCAGGAATGGTAGGGCTGTCATCCTTAGTCTAAAGTTCAGATCTTCTTTCTGCCTTGTTAGAGTTCATTTGAGGTGTTTGTAGCAATGGTCATGGCGTTCTCTGTTTGGCTGCAACTCTGACTAAATGGAATAGAATGAAGGAAAATACAGAAGCTGGTATTCTCTGGGCAAATTTGCGTGTCAAATCCACCTTTAGCAGAAGAAAGATGTGGTTTTTCAGAACTCAGGAGAGCTGTACCCGCAAACACTACAGGCATATTTGATGAGCTTGCGTTCCCCTTCTGTT